CCGTTTGAACTAATAAAGTGCCAGGGGCCTAAGTGGTCACCTCAATATTAAAAAAAAAAAAAAAAAAAAAAAAAAAATTAACCTTATTATTTTCAAACAAAATAAATATTGAGATAGATATTATCTGGGTTATCTACAAATAGGTTGGATATTGGGTTGTAGTTATGTTAATTTAGGTAAAACTCTAGCAACTAATTTTTTGTATTGTTTTTTGATACTTCTTTCCTGTTCTTTTTTTAATTGCTTTTTGGTGATTTTTTATACTTATAGTATTTTTTACTTCTTTGTGGCTTTTTCATCATTTTTTTATTGTTTTTTATTATTCTTTTAGTGGTTTCTTGGCTATTCTTTTGATGATTTATTCTTTTTAATACTTTTTTGTATTTTTTTTTTTAGGTTAATATTTTCTTTTGTTGCTTTTTTTTTTTTTTTTTTTACTTTTTTATTGCTTTTTTGGTACTTCTTTGCTACTTTTTCAAGATTTTCTGTTATTTTTTCAGTACATTTCTGGTATTCTTTTATTACTTCTTTGTGACTCTTTCATTGTTCTTTTAGTAGTCTCTTTGTTATTCTTTTGGTGGTGCTTTTTTTACATTCTTTTGGTTCTTTTAGATTAATATTAGGTTAGCATTAAAATCAATATTACTTAACTTCTTAGGTAGTACACCCACAAAAATTGCCCCTGTAATTTTTACTGAGAATTCAACAGTTTGGGGCTGGTAGAGTTAGAAAGAAAGTTTCTATTAGTAAAATTTCACAAGAAGCATTTTTAATTCACAGAGGATGGTTTCTTAATTTAGATTTTGAGTTATTCTAAAAAATTAGATTTAAATGTCTTATAATTTTTTTTTTTTTAAAAAAAAAATCTTAACAGTATCATAGTGTTAGCATTAAGGATTTATTATGAATTGATATTAATTGAGCTAGGCAGTGTTCCGCGTCATTTTTCAATTTATGCTGACATATCAATTTTTTAAATAGTATCCATAGATTATAATTGAGTTTTAAATTCAAATTCTTTCATATAATGATATTCATGAGATGATAATTTTGTACAGTATATGCAGAAAGAGAAAAATATCTGATATGAAAAATTAGGTAATGTAACTAGGCGCTTGAGTTGTTTAAAAAGAGTTAGAAATGTATTATATTATACTGGCATGTTATGAATCAGTTCTAGTATAGTTCTTGTGCAATTCATCAAATATTTTATCAATTTCATATTATAATTATAGAAAAAGATAGAATTTTATAAGAATTGGTTTTTATTTTATCATTTATCCACCGGGTGACCCGCGGGTTTACCCGCCGGGTTATCCGGGTCATGATTTTTCAGACGGGTCCAACCACTGGTATATCCAAAGCTTTCCATTTCTTCCAAAGCCAGCTTAGCCCTTGAGTCATTATGATTGATGCATGTTTTAATGATTTTTTCATAAATAGTAGATGATGGTAAAATATTTTTCGCTTTCATCTCTTCTAAGTAAACAAATGCATCTTCGTAATCGTAATCTGTACTACAGCACAAGTATATCATACGACGATACGACTCGCTATCAGGTTGTATGCCTGCACGTTGCATCTCCGTCCAGAATTGTTGTCCTAGTTCACGATGTTGCGCTGAAAAACATACACCCAATAGCGCATTAAACGTATGAACATCTGGTTTAACGCCCAGTTTTTCTGCTGATTTGTATGTCTCTACGGCACGATGTATATCTGGTTTGGTTCGATTTCCAAATTTATTCCCGAATCCGTTGACAAAGCGACATGCGTTAATTATGGTATTTAAAGCCAGCACATCAACTTTTTTACCATCTTTAACAAGTTCTTCCAGGCTGTAATATGCTTTATCAATGGATTCAACGTTTTTAGAAATGGCAGCTACGATCGGAAGTGCGGTCTTACTATTTGGCTTAACTCCCGCTGCGGTCATTACCGATAGCATGTCCATAGCTTGTTTAATGTCATTGTCATTAATAAAAGCTTCCAATAGTGGTTCCAAATGCCATTTATCAAGAGATACTTTGCGATTTTCCGTCAAATATGCGAGTACCTGTGCCGCAAGATGAGGCTTTCCAAACCTTGCAGCTACATGAAGGACGTCTATACAAGCACCTTCGTCAAGATCTAGATAACGTTCTTCGATGATTTTTTCCCAACAATATATTAGACCATCGAGCTATAATATATATCGAGCGATAAGTACCATACATAAATAAGAGAATGAAATAAATAAAATTCACCCACGTAATATTGATCTGCAGAACATCTTAAAACATCATAATACATCGATGAATATGTCGGTAAATTTTCAGCTTCCATCCTCTTTAGTAAAGCAAGTGCTTCTTCAGGCCATTCAAAATGACATATCTTCTTCATCAAGTTTTCGTACATTGTGACCGTTGGCTGAATTCCTTTATTTTTCAAAATGTCTATAAAATCAATACCTCGTTCAATTTCTCCATTAACTAACAAAGCTGTAAGATAGTTATCATAAGTTACAATGGTTGGCTGAAGCCAATCTCTTTCGATCATGTCAAAAATAAGTTCCCGTAGATGAGCAGGTTGATTTCCCGGAGACATTATAGCTGTCTGCATAAATAATGAAAATTTTCTTATAAAGCTAAAAATTATAAGGCTTTTTCTATGTGATAATCAATAATGTTACCTTCAATAAAGCATTGTATGTATCTATGTTTGGCTTTATTCCTGCTAATAACAAATCGTCCAGTAATTTGAATGATTCTAATACATCTCCGTCACTTTGATATGCCGATAGCAGTATGTTATACGTATTTACATCCGGCTTGATATTTCTTAATTTCATTTGATCACAAGCATCTCTCATTGCAACAGTCCAATTATGCTTCTTATAACGTTCTAACCTACGATTGAAGGATTCCAACGTGTTGTCAATTTCAAATAAAGGTTCTATGGGAACATCATGAGTATTTGTATTTTGTGTACTAGTATTTTGTGTACTATAGTTAAACGAAAGACGAAATCCTCGGCGAAAGGCAAAACTCCCGGCGAAAGGTGAAGCCCTCGGCGAAAGGTGAGAGATGAAGCTTCTGGAGAAAGACAGCATCTCAAAGTTCTAATGAAAATAAGAGAACTATGTCAATAATATCAGATATGACACGAAACGTGGCTTATATAAATATACCATTTACTGCTGAAAAAAAAACCAACCTTTCACTCCTACAGTAATTAGATCCGATCTGAATCTAGATGAGATCCGTTTACGCTAATTGGCTGTATATATTAAGTATATTCTGATTGGTTAATATAAATCATTATATAGTTAGCAATTGATAGTTTTTTGTTAAAACTAGGTATATACAGTATAGCATTATTATTGTATATATAATAAAAAAGGGTCTATAACCATAGGCCGTCACGCTTTAGATCCAAAGGTTCAATCAATCTTTCTAAATTATTCGTTAAATGTTAATTGGTACTACTTTGTAAGGGAGGGTCAGCACACTTTATATAAAAACTTGCAACTATTTTTCAAGATTTACTTGGATAGGGTTAATTACAAAGATATAAAGCCTCGTTTGTAAACATTTAATTCTGGTTAAGTTGTAAAGTATTCTAAACTATATATATAGTAAATTCAAACTGATTCTATCTATAAAAATGAACAGCTTTTAAAACTTTTGGCAAGTATTTACATATATAGTAAAAATATATGACTTACAACAATAACACCATCAATTAGATGTTTTTTGTCTTTTATCTTCTCTTTATTTGTTGTTTTAAAAGCTTCGACTAGTATAGCATTTAGAAATTATTATTAATTTATCGCTATTGTATATACAGTATTTATTAATTATATATCACTAGCATCTAACCCGTCGTGTTGCTCCGGATTCAAATATAAAATATTTAGTTAATTTAAAACAAAAAAATTATTATAAAATATATATAGTAAATACTAATTTTAATGTCTCTGATTAAAACCCTGGTATTATTCTATCCTATTTCTTGAATAAGACCCGTGGTATACCAATATTGATTTACTACTTTTAATATGATATATCCCAAATATGCACCCGGTTCTTCATACAGTAAAGTATCCACAAGTTTTAACATTGATACGTATTATGTTCAAATTTGTGCAACAATAATAAGAAACATGTGTTATAGCAGTAGCCAATTATATTGTATTTTTGTCTCATAATGTTTGTCTTATAGTGTTTGTCTCATAGTGTTTATCTCACACTATTATATATTATATATTGATAAATACCTTAATCTTTAGATATTCATTTTTGACTTGTTCATTGAGTAACTTGTGCTTCAATTTTTCAATTTCATTTTCCAACAATCTACTGTCATTCTAAGTATCAATGTAAATATTTTAGAAACTACATATTTGACTACTGTGTAAAATAGTAAAAAAATAAAAAGAATAGTACTTACTTGCAAAGCAGTGTTAGTTTGTATAGCAGTAGATTCTTCAAACAGGTTGGACATAATTTAGTGTACTATTTTCTTTTTATTCTGTATTAAAAAAATTAGAATTCTTTTTCTTTTTTTTAGTAATTATTAGAATTTTTTTTTTTTGTGATTACTATTATTAGAAAATTTTTTTTTTAGTAAATTATATATTAGTATTTTTTTTTTAAAAAAAAAAAGCATATATATTTGACTTTAGTTTG